AACAAAGTTCATTCCTGCCAAAGACTGAGTGTTAACCTAGCCCTCCAGCTGATACTGCTTTCTGAAGTTTAAAGCCTGCAGTCAATTCCTTGTGAACTGAAACTAACTCCTCTTTGGCCCCCCCTCCTGCCTAATACCCTGAGAAATAGCATGATGACAAAAACATGAGCCTTATTTTCTTCTTCTTCTTTTAAGATTTATTTATTATTTATGCATACAGAACTGGGGTGCAGACCAGAGGTGCAAGGGGTGAGAGGATTCACCAGAGACAGAGTAGGGAGCTTAACAGGCAGATGTACTGAAGTATGCTGCTGAGTGGAGCAGTGGGCGGGTCAGAAAAGGTCTGCCATGCCAAGTGGGCCACCTCCCTGACCGGGGATTGAGCTGGTGCTGCAGTGGCTGCGAAAGCTTCATGGTGCTGTGCTTGAACCATTGCACCACCAGGGAGGGAGGGACCCATGAGCCTTATTTTCAATCCGGGTTCTGCCACTCAATAGCCCTGCCTTCATTTTTCTCCGATGGAAGAGAGTAAGTTGAAGACTAAGTGCAATACTGGATGAATAGCAGTCTGTGCACAGAACCTTTACTACACGTTAGCTGTGACACCAGTAATCACAGGTGTCTTAAATACTTCATTTAGTCATACCCAATAGACAGTTTAAATAACATGACCTCAAAGATTCCCTTTGGCTAAACTGTCCTATGTCAGTTCTTAAGGTTTTATTTCTAATCTTCTTTGAAACAAGCCTAAGATCTTTTATAAAGATATTCCTTTCTTTTTCTCTTCCTGTTTTCCCCACTTTTATCTACAAATATTCCTAGCTAAGATAGATGTGACTTGATTAAAATCACAGAGGTTAGATCTTTCTCTTACTTACCTTCAGCCATCAGGAAGCAGCATTGTTGTTATTGCATGAATAAAGCAAAATACAAGTGGGATCTGAACTAGCAAGAAAAGAGATATGTGGGAAGCTCCTTCTCTCTCTTCATGACAGAGATAGCATAGTCTTGACATCGCCAGCCTTCAGGGAGAGAACTAAGTAAATTTTCTGATGAAATGTTATAATCCAGCTATGGGTCTCATTTGCTCTGAAGGTTCAAGACTAGATAGGTAGTTTCTAGCCCCAAAAGTTAAAAACTCAAGTTCAAAAATGTCCTTTCTGATAAGTTAGTACGCATTAAGTAAATTAAATCAAGTTTTTTGAAAGTCTGAAGTAGTTCAAGCAGTTAGTGCTGAATTTCTGGATAGTTGTGCTTTTTGAACTCCTGAAGCTACAGAGAGAGCAAGATAAAGGGTTCTTTTTAAAGACCAGCTAAGTTAACAAGTTGTACTAGTTTCCTAGGAATGTCCTGGCTTTAAAGTGAAGTATGTCTCTTATGCTGGGGAACCCTTCAGTCTAGTGCATGCTGGGACATTTGGCCATGCTAAAAATCAAGCCTTGATTAGGTGGTTGATTACACTACAATTCAGTAGAAAAGGGCACTTACATAACATTATGCATCCAAATTATGTATCTTTTATATAAATTGAATCATAAAACTATAAGTAGAAAAAGCACAATGACTAAATGCTCTCCTAAGGAAGTATCCATGCATATGTCATCCATGGTTGTGTCTTTGCAGCATAAATGGTTCATTTGGTAGCATTTATTCCAATGGCAAACTTGATTCTTATGAGGAAATAACTAGCCTTTAAAATACTAGTTTTTTTTTTTTTTTTTGAAAATCCAAATCTTAAAGTGAAACTAAATACGTTACCAGCCAAGAAAAGAGAAAGTTTCCAAAGGAAGTTGCTTAACATTTTCATTGATGGGAAGTCAAGAAAGGAGAAAGAGTGAGTTGGCCATTTAGAGTGCAACGCTGATGGCTCAGTGTGGATGGAAGCCAGACTACTGGGCCCAACGAGGGGACCAGTGGAGAGGAAACAGGCATAGCTGGACCAGTAATGTTAAATATTTGACAGCGAAAGGAAGTCAAGCAGCAAGATAGTATCTGGGGGTTAGCAAGGTCAAGAAAAAAATCTTTTGTGATGGAGAAAAGGCAAGCATTTTGAAGACAGCAAACCAATCTGGGGATGAAAGCTTACTTGGAGCTTGGTTGCTCACCCTGGTAAGGAGTGACGGCAGAGCACTCCAGCCCCTGGGCCCTTCAGGCTGCTTCCAAGAGACATTTAAATGGAAGGCCCTAGCCCTGTGCCAGGATCCTTCCTCTAGTTAGCCAATCTTAAGATTCTAGCTCAAGACCAGCCTCTTCACATGTGCCCTACCACGGGGTCTGTACTCTGGGAGGAAGCCAAGTGCAAGCACATGACAGCAACTGAAATGCAGGAGTCTTAGAGTAAGAAAAGTAGGAAAAAATGAAAGATTTGGGAAAATTTATAGTTAAGGTTCATGATATTGGATAAACATCCAAGGCAAGAAAACTTGCAATAACTATAGTCTGTCTTTTCCAAGCTGAGATGATGGTTTTTAGCTTTAAGGAAAGCCCTAACATGGGCAAGGCCTCCTGATATTATCAGGGTCTGCAGCAAGAGTAAATGCCTTCCCTAGATGCCTAAATCCTTAGTGTGCTACATTAGACTAACAAATGTGACAACCCCACCCCCCATCCTAACTTGGGCTGCACCCAGCATTACACAGAGACTGTAGGGACAGTCGCACTGCACCCATTCTCTGGACACTTAGAGATCTAATATGAGCGACTCCTGAATTGCTATGAAGTCTGCAGCCCCTCCCCCAAACAGGCCTGAGGGCATTTGTACCGGGAATTCTGGAAATTTCCTACCAAGAATATTTCAGAAGGACAGGGGTCAGGTTCACCATACCCCTTGACCCATTAGAAATGACACCACAAGCTGTGGGTGTGGCAAAAGGAAGACCAGTTTCCTTTCCTGGAGTGTCATTTTATCATTCCATTTTCCTTACCTAACTTTTGAGGTTTTGTATATGACCTTTGAAGACTCTAGGACAAGATTTTACATAACACACATAACAGCAGCACATAGCAATCTGGGGGACTCCAAAAGAAATGTTCCTGTCAAGCAGACTCATTTAGACTGTGGTGTTCTGGTAATGACCCAGAGGCCCCAAAAGGGGTATTCCCCGCTCAATTACAGATTATCTCCTGACAAAGGAAGAACACAGCTTTTAAAGACGTTTAAAATGGAAGTATACTTTTCTGATAGAAAATTATTAGCACAGATTATTTAGGTCTAATCCAGACCACTTCAGGACTTTAATTTAGCTATTCAAGGTAGGTAGGATGCAGATACCTTTTGGATGTAGCCTTCTTCCCCAGGCAGAAGTTCAGATTTGCATATGAGGATGGAGGATTTGACCTCTGATTCAAGAGCCCTTTGAAGGTGAGGCAAGAGGGGATTAACTCCATGTGTAAACTTCCCTCTATCTGGTTGGCTAGTTGGGAAGATGCTTATGGTAGGCCAGTGGGGGAGGGGTGGAGGTTTAGCCTAGATGCCTTCTTGGGGCTGGGGACCAGAGGAACCCTTGAGCAAAATGATCCCACAGGAAGCCCTTCCAGGTGAACCCAGATCAGCTCTCCCTTAAAGTGCACACCTTTCACCTGTGCTGTGGGAGCTTCTAGGACTGACCCAGACGGGGCTTACTGACCATCACTGGGGCCTATGTTCATGGCTCTTCTTGAAGAGACAAACTCTTCCTACCCAAATAACTGACCCCAATGTGGTTCTCCAACTGACAGCAGTGTTATATATGGGGGAGAGCCATGATGTGCATTAAGTGGTACATGTAATCATGAAATTCAGTTTGTGCTTTGGCAAAACTACTTGCCTCATTATTACTCATGGTGGAGGCAGTGGTGGTGGTGATAGCCCGAGATTTAATAGGTTTCGAGGTTATGGTAAATTCTGATGAATTATTTGTGTAGTTAAGATCTCAAAGAAACTTCTTCATAGAGGAAAAATAAACCGTAACACTGAGCACTGGACCGTGAATTTTGTCAGACACAGCTGCCATTTTCTTGAATCTGCAGCATAACAAGTGCCATACAGTTGGAGATCTGGCATTTCTTTCATCAAGCTGTTATGTGGATTAATGGACACACCGGATAAGATACCTCGCATTGCCCCCATCCTCACCTCTTTGAGGCTGGCGGGAGCTGCTTAAAGCCTTCCCCAGGCAAGCTGAGAATGTCTTTGTCGGCAAAAGTGCCACAACATAGGGCCTTAATAAATATTTACCAAATGAATGAATGGCTGCCAGCTTTCCTTTTGTTTAGCCACACTCCTGTCCTAGGCTCCTACAGCGAAACCCAGGCTCCTGGGTTTTGAATGTTGCCAACACCTTCCCGGTGTGGATGCAGGGCGAGTGGGATGAAGAGAGTTAAAGAATGAGTAGGGGAAGTCGGCGGGAAGAAGAAAAAGAAATCCTTGGAGGCTTGGGGTAACAAAGAACCAGACTCGGGCGAACCCCACCAGGTCAGCGCGGGACCCTGCAACAGCAGCAGGACCAGCTCCCCGGGCACCTCCAGCCGAGGGCGTCCAAGTCGCGGGCCGGCACCTGGCGAGGCGCCCCCATCCCCGCACCGGGTGCTGGCTCTGCGCTCCCGCCCCCGGGGCGGTGCCGGGAACACGCGGCGTCTCCGCCGGTCACGTGGGGGCCGCTCCGCCGGGCGGCGCTGCAGCTTCCCGATCGCGCCCTCCCAGTGCCGGGGACGCGGCGCTCGCGCTCCCGCCGGAGCCGGGAAGCGGAGACAAGGAGTCGCCGCCGCTCCCTCTCCGGGCTGCGCACGGGTCCTGCTCCCGCAACATGCCCGCCGCGGAGCCGAGCGCCGCCCTCCTCCGCGAGCTCGCGGAGGCCACCACGCCGCCAGCCGCGGAGCCGCGGCTGCTGGGCTAGCGGGGCCGGAGTCCGCACCGAGGAGCCGTGCGCGAGGCGGGCGGAGTCGGAGGAGGAGCAGCAGGCATCCTCCGCGGCGCGGCGGGCGGCGGCCCTGCTGCCCGGCGCGCCCATGGCCCGGGAAGAAGGAGAATGCGAGCTGCACTCCCAGCCGGCCGCCGCCGCCTTCCCCCGCGCCGCGTGCTCGGCGCCCCCCGGAGCTGCTTGCGTCGCCACCGCCCCCCAACTGCGGGCGCCCGGCCGCTGGCTGCGCTAGGACCCACAGCCGCCGGTCGCCGAGGGGTGCTGGCAAGGGAGCGAGGAGAGCCCGAGGGCCCGGGAGACTGGCGCCCGCCAGGGCGCAGCGTGACATGTAGCTGTGGGCTCCCGCGCCCGCGTGAGGGTGTCAGCCCGGGGCCCCGCCATGGCTGGGAAGGACAGCGGGAACCTGAAGACGGTGAGGCTGTGGCGGGACGCCGCCCTGCGCGCCAGGAAGCTGCGGAGCAACCTGCGCCAGCTGACCCTCAGCGCGGCCGGTGGCTGCCCGGGGGCCGGAGCTGACCAACTCGGCTCCCCCGACGCCCCCCAGCTAGTGCTGCCGGCCAACATCGGGGACATTGAGGTGCTGAACCTGGGGAACAACGGCCTGGAGGAGGTGCCAGAAGGGCTGGGGTCGGCGCTGGGCAGCCTGCGAGTCCTGATCCTGCGCAGGAATCGCTTCGCTCGGCTGCCCCCTGCGGTGGGTGAACTGGGCCACCACCTCACCGAGCTGGACGTGAGCCACAACCGGCTGACCACCCTGGGCGCAGAGGTGGTGGGTGCCCTGCGGGAATTGCGCAAGCTCAACCTCAGCCACAACCAACTGCCAGCCCTACCCGCCCAGCTGGGCACCCTCTCCCACCTGGAGGAGCTGGACGTCAGCTTTAACCGGCTGGCGCACCTGCCAGATTCCCTCTCCTGCCTCTACCGCCTGCGCACCCTGGATGTGGACCACAACCAGCTCACTGCTTTTCCCCGACAGCTGCTGCAGCTGGCGGCCCTGGAGGAGCTGGACGTGTCCAGCAACCGGCTGCGAGGTCTACCTGAGGATATTAGTGCCCTGCGTGCCCTGAAGATCCTCTGGCTGAGTGGGGCTGAGCTGGGCACCCTGCCCAGTGGCTTCTGCGAGCTGGGCAGCCTGGAGAGCCTCATGCTAGACAACAACGGCCTGCAGGCGCTGCCCGCCCAATTTAGCCGCCTGCAGCGGCTCAAAATGCTCAACCTGTCCTCCAACCTCTTTGAGGAGTTCCCCGAGGCGCTGCTGCCCCTGGCTGGCCTGGAGGAGCTCTACCTTAGTCGCAACCAGCTCACCTCAGTGCCATCCTTTATCTCTGGTCTGGGCCGGCTTCTCACCCTGTGGCTAGATAATAACCGGATCCGCTACCTGCCAGACTCCATTGTGGAGCTGACCGGGCTGGAGGAGCTGGTGCTGCAAGGGAACCAGATTGCAGTGCTGCCTGACAACTTTGGCCAGCTCTCCCGGGTGAGCCTGTGGAAGATCAAGGACAACCCCCTGATCCAGCCACCCTACGAGGTCTGTATGAAGGGGATCCCCTATATTGCCGCCTACCAGAAGGAGCTGGCTCATTCCCAGCCTGCAGTGCAACCCCGCCTCAAGCTGCTTCTGATGGGCCATAAGGCTGCAGGGAAGACCTTGCTCCGTCACTGCCTCACTGAGGAGAGAGTGGACGGAGACCCAGGAGGAGGGGATGAGGAGAAGAGCTACCCACCTTCCCCTCCTCCCATGAGCAAGGGCATCGAGGTGACTAGCTGGACCGCGGATGCTTCCCGGGGGCTGCGCTTCATAGTGTACGACTTAGCTGGAGATGAAAGTTACGAGGTGATCCAGCCCTTCTTCCTCTCTCCTGGGGCCCTGTATGTGTTGGTGGTGAACCTGGCCACCTATGAGCCACTCCGTTTCCCCACCACTGTGGGCTCCTTTTTGCATCGGGTAGGGGCCCGGGTGCCTCACGCTGTGGTGTGCATCGTGGGTACTCACGCAGACCTGTGTGGGGAGCGGGAGCTGGAGGAGAAGTGTCTGGACATTCACCGCCAGATCGCCCTGCAGGAGAAGCACGACGCCGAGGGCCTGAGCCGACTGGCTCAGGTGGTAGATGAGGCACTGGCCCGGGACTTCGAGCTGCGTTCCAGCAGCCCCCATGCAGCCTATTATGGTGTTTCAGACAAGAACCTTCGGCGGCGCAAGGCCCATTTTCAATACTTGCTCAATCACCGGCTGCAGATCCTCTCCCCAGTGTTGCCGGTCAGTTGCAGGGACCCCCGCCAGTTGCAGCGCCTTCGGGACAAACTGCTCTCAGTCGCTGAGCACCGGGAAATCTTCCCCAACTTACACAGAGTGCTGCCTCGATCCTGGCAGGTACTGGAGGAACTGCATTTCCAGCCACCTCAGGCACAGCGGCTTTGGCTGAGCTGGTGGGACTCGGCGCGCTTGGGCCTGCAGGCTGGTCTGACCGAAGACCGGCTGCAGAGCGCCCTGTCTTACCTGCATGAGAGCGGCAAGCTGCTCTACTTTGAGGACAGCCCGGCCCTCAAGGAGCATGTTTTCCACAACCTCACCCGCCTCATCGACATCCTCAATGTCTTTTTCCAGAGGGATGCTTCCTTGCTGCTGCATAAGCTCCTCCTTGGGGCCAGTGGAGAGACTGAGGGCGAGGGGGAGATCCCCCCTCTGACGGGGCTGCCCACCCCCAGCCAGGACCTTCTCAGGGTCACCCAGCTCCATCATTATGTGGAAGGCTTCCTGCTTCATGGGCTCTTGCCAGCTCATGTCATTCGGTTGCTGCTTAAGCCTCATGTCCAAGCCCAGCAGGACTTGCAGCTGCTGCTGGAGCTTCTGGAGAAGATGGGACTCTGTTACTGCCTCAATAAACCCAAGGGTAAGCCTTTGAATGGGTCCACGGCCTGGTACAAATTCCCATGCTACGTGCAGAACGAGGTGCCCCACGCAGAGGCCTGGATTAATGGGACCAACCTGGCTGGGCAGTCATTTGTGGCCGAGCAGTTGCAGATTGAATATAGTTTTCCCTTTACTTTCCCACCCGGGTTGTTTGCTCGCTACAGTGTCCAGATCAACAGCCATGTGGTACACAGGTCGGATGGTAAACTTCAGATCTTTGCCTACAGAGGGAAAGTTCCCGTGGTGGTGAGCTACAGGCCGGCCAAGGGGGTCCTGCAGCCAGATACTCTGTCCATTGCCAGCCATGCATCATTACCAAATATATGGACAGCATGGCAAGCCATAACCCCCTTGGTAGAGGAACTGAACGTGCTGCTTCAGGAGTGGCCCGGACTGCACTACACTGTGCATATTCTCTGTTCTAAGTGCCTTAAGAGAGGGTCGCCCAATCCACATGCTTTCCCAGGTAAGTGCAAAAAGGGACTCGATTCTTCCCTGGTGTGCTTTAAGATGCAGTTTTGCAGCCAATGGCTTTTCATTTGGTAGAATGCTTGCTTATCCTCTCAGGTCCCCAGGAAAGCTTTTCCAGGAACTTACAGGGGGCTTTGGGGGTACACTGAGGCAGTAAGTACATGGATATTATGAACTATGCCCCCAATTTCGTACTCCTACTAGGAAAGTGCAGACTTCCAAAGTGGCTCCATTCAGAACATTTGGGCTCCCCATTTCCCGACTGACTCATCTTTCATGGGAGGATATTTCAGGTGAGCAGTAGGTGGAGAGCCTGACAGTCTGCTGCTAAGCCTTGGGTGTAAAGCCTGGTCCACGCAGCTTGAAAGGGTGCTTTGAACTTGCAGTGTCTGCTGTCACCTTCTTTTGTTTAAATTCAGAACATAATCATAAGGTAACATTACTACTCACTTTTCCTAAGAAATGCTGGAGAAGAATGTTTTGTGATGTGGGTGAATGATGATTTGGAAAGACAAAAATGTCAGTCTGAATTGGCATGACTAAATCCCAGGACACAGTTTCCACTCAGCCCACTAGGGCCTGAAAGATTACCGAAATCTCTGAGGGGAGTTTCCTTGGGTATTTCCTGATAAGTTTCTGCTTTACAGACTTCTTCAAGTTCGGTTTTTGGTAAGAGAGAGTGGAACTCTTTGGATGTTCCAATTTGTAAGCAGTAGATGGGAAGGAGAGACTCTTTTGGGAAATGTTTTCCAATAGCCTTTTTCCTTTGTTTTTTTTTTAAAACCATTCTGAGAGTCGGAGAAATCCAGGATTTGTTGTCTTGGCTTTGTTGAACCTGGTTAATTGGTTTCCTGAGGCTTTAGTTGGGAACATATTCAGCTGTAGGCTCTTCTTTAAACAGCCCTGGCTTTCTGGCTTTTTTTGAGCAGGGTTGGTTAACAATATCCCAGCTGTCCTTAGCACAAACCTGCTGATAGCACCTATCTGTTTCTCCTCTTGGTTCACACGGCCAGCCCACACTGAAGGGGATGAAATAAAGAGGCATACTCTCTGATTTTTGTTCTAGTCGGAGTATAGCTGTCATAGTACCAGGAAGGAACTGGATACTAGTATTTCCAAAGGGCACCATCTTCCTGTTGCCCTAGATCCAGACTGTTTTCATTCTGCATCCTGAAAACAGCTACCATATTCAGTTACCAGTCACCCGAGCCACCCACTCCCTGCGGTTATCTGGAGCTTTGCTATAGTCCCTGATTTGGTAGTCTTTCGTTTTATATTTGCCATTGTATTAATGAAAAACAAAGTACTTCTTTCTTGGCACTAAATTAAGTGAAGTGGCTGATAGCTCCATATTTATAGAGCAGCGTTTTGTAGCAACTACCAGAAGCTAATTCCTAATTCAGCAATGGGTCATTGATAAAACTGATGTTATTAACAACAAAGGGAAAGACATCAGTTATTGAACAAGTGAAGATCTGTGCAGGAATTCCAAGAACTCTGAGGCATACTTAACAGGGCTGGAATTCACACCCCCTCCCCCCATATTAGCTCCTAATTTTTAAGGTTTCAGTAATAAATTCCACAAACAAGCTTGTACAAGAGACAGAAAGTACCTATTCTCTTGTTATTGTTTTGTCTATTTCCCTTTCAATGGAGCCATACACCTGGTTTGCAGTCCAGGCTTTAAGGAAGAGGTGATTTTTTCCAATGTACTGAACAAATAAATGGTGGAAAATTATAAAACTATCTTAGAAATAAAATAGGGTTCAATCATCAGTTGCTTTTAGTTCTGTCTAATTTATGGTCAGAGAAATGAGCTTTTTCGCTTTGTCTACGGTTGTATGTCTTTCAAAAGTGAAAAAGGGCACAGGATATTGAAATATATGATCATAGCACATTCATTACATTAAGAAGACAGAGAAAAACCTATCTCCCTCCTTCCTATTTTTCTGATCACCACTGTTTGTTAACATTGTCACAATTCTGAGAGATACAGGAAGAACAAAATAATAAAAAAAGCTAGGAGGTAATGCAGGAATAGTTATAGAGCCTTGATTTTGAAATATATTCATGGAGAACCTGATTTTTAAGATAGATTTTCACGTATCAGATTCCGTTGAATGAACTGGTAGCCTTTTGTCTTTTTAAAAAGTCATTTTACTTTTTAGAGACATTAAAATTTTGTTAGTTGTACATTTTATGAAAGTGCCAAGTTCTGTCAACTATAACCATTCTATACACAATTGTAAAAGACACTGAAATTTTAGTTTTTGCAAGTTTGGGACAGTATGAATAAATAGCAAAGCACCATTGCCCTTGATTTTATACAGAAGAAACTGAGTTGCTTTAGTATTTTAGAAGTTGTTTTGCAAGTGAAAAAGCATGTTTTGGCCCTGTCAGTGTCCACAGGACAATGAATTTTGTGGCTTACGCAGCATTAATGTTATCAGCCTAGGGAAATATAATGATAGATTTCTCTTATTTGGGTTACTAGAGAAATGTAATGTTTTGGAAAATCTTCAGCCAGTAACCACTTAGTTTGAAAAGTTCTCGTAAAAAAGAGATCACATCACATTGTCAGAGAAACCACCCATTTGTCTGATTTAAGACCAGTGGTTGAACGTGACAGGAGACGCTGTTGGAACCGCAAAGGCGGTCTCTGCAGACGCCTCGCGACAGGTGAGTGTTTACTGCTGTGTGCAGGTGGGGGTAGTTCCGCCAGCCACCTTGGCTGCGAGGCTTCCCACACCTCCTTGGTTTCTTGTGTGGATGTCCCTATGCGAGAGTCAATGGAATATTTTACTTTTGTTCTACTTCTCTTTTTGCCAGTTTGACATTTACCCAGAAGAGCTGAATAATCCTCATGTTGGGCGATGTGTAGCATATTGAGCAAGAACAGAGACTAGGACATAGGCCTGCAGCAAGATTCTAGTGCTCAAGATTCTAGATTCCATTTATGGAGCGGAATGAATGCTGTCTTAGTGAGTGGAACTGGGGTGAATGGGACTTTTCACTGAATTTTCTACTCTCCAGTTTATTAAAGGTCATTTTGCAGACGGTGGATTGGTATATGCTCTTCACTTTTGACCTGTCCATTCACTCACTAGAACACCTTCCCGTGTCCCTCCCAAGCAAGGGCCTTTGACCTGCTTCACTTGCTTACATCTGTGCACTTTTCTGAGGCAGTCTGGGCATGTTATCACATCCTATTGTGTGTTTGCAGTACCATCTTTTAGATGAGGGTGTTCACTGGCTTCCTTTGAGCAGGAGAGGCCTTGTCATGTCCCCAGGGACCTCTCAGATGCTTGTTGAATGCTTGCTTGCTGTTCGTGAGGGCTCTTTCTTTCCTTTGTCACACACTGTCCATTTCTCAGGTGGTATTGTATTGGTATTTTGTTCTGTGCCCCAGCACCCCCCACCCCTTCCCCACTGTGTTCCTTTAGTGCTCCCATAGGGTGGGTGCTTTATTTTGACCACTGAAGCAAAGCAAAATTCTTGCCTTATTATATCTAAGTTTTAGAATTCCTGGAATTTGAGCTTGACCTAGTTGTTAGAATTGAATTAGTCATTGTTTTTAATTTCACCAAGGTTATTAAAGATCTTTTTCAGTTTAGCCTTATTAATATTGATGCCTCTTGGCTTTTATTTTTATGAACAGTCCTCTTTGAACTCTCTTGGGCTTTGTTTCACATAAAAATCAAAACCTTAATCATACAGTGGAGGAAAGAAACACTGTGCATCACTGGATTCAAAGATGAGGAAGGACTTTGGTGCATTCAAATTATATTAAGTATTAGGTACCTGTAATTTAAACTCTAGGATCTGAAGTCCATCCCTGTTGTTATTTAGAATTTCCTATAGAAAGTATTTTTTATTTGATAACAGACATTTGCGTCCTATTTTGCCACCTGCTCACCTTTTTCCACAGTGAAACTCACTTACCTATTTTAGTTCTTACTCCTTTACTTCATCTTCACGCCTAAAACACTTACAGAGTGTACTTCGCAAGGCTGTTTTGGAGGTTAGGTGAGAGGATGTGTTGTATCAGTGAGGCTGTGAGGGGTTCCTTTGCCATAGAGAAGCAGTTGGGGGCTCATGGGGTGAACATTTCTGGTTGTTTTGTCCATCCACCACTAATTCGTTTCTCTGCTTGGGAGCCAAATGTTTTCATTAAGGACCTGACTCTCCATCCATTAGGGAAGTTTATTTTTATAATAAAGAAATAATGTGAGTTTTTCTTTGGCCTTGTCTCTCAGCTTCCTTGGCACTCCTGTGCCTGGGGGTGGAGAGGAGAGTTTCTGTGTGCTGCCAGGCTCTGTGAAAGCACCCCAGGTTGGGTCTTTGTGGGGCAGGCCCAGCCAGGTCTCAGTTGTCCCTGGTTCAGCAGCTCTGGTTTTAAAGCTGGTTGTGGGGTGGTTGCCAGGCTTACTGCTTCCCTCTGGGCACTGGCTGCCTTCACTCTTCAGGGGAAGGCCTGAGGAGGCCCAACCTTGGCCTGCATTCTCAGTCCTGCTCAGGCAGCAGTGTGGCCAGCCCTGGCGTGCTCTTTGGCTCCTTCCACCTGGAGAGCCCAGAGCGATCTGGTGTGTGTCTCTGCCAACACAGAATCATGAGGTGCCATGTCCTTGTCCAGCCACACAGGCTTTCTCTGTGGCTCCACGCTCTTGTCTCTGAGTTTGGGGCCTCATGGGCGGGCACAGACCTCTGTGCACATTACCTGGCACGTGGCTGGGCACATATAAGGGGCTCAGTTAGATGGGCTATTTTTGAAGAACGCAAGCAATTCTAGTGATACTTAATTGATTTTTTGGCAAGGTGCTTTCTTTGGCTGGTTATGATGTTCTTAAAGTATGTACTTGAAGGTAAGTTTGCAAAATTTTCCCATGTAGATTTTTTTTTTTTTTTGGCTACAGAGCCTGCCCTCTATCTATGTTGCCTCTTAAGATGTAGGGCTGCTTATCAGTATCCGGGGGTGAATGGAGAACAGGAGCTGGC